GGCCTAAGCAGACTGCCAGAAATAGTGCACATTAAATTCAGGCACTGCCCTGGCTCAGTGCTAGGGAATCATGGGAACTGTAATTTATTTTGGCACCAGAGCTCTCTGACAGAGAAGGCTCAATGTCCCAGAAAAAAATACAATTCTCATGATTCCCTAGCACTGAGCCAGGGCAGTGCCTCAATTTAATGTGCACTATTTCTGGCAGTCTGCAAAGGCCTATAGTCTCGTTACATGCCTAGTGAGGGAGCATGAGTCTTGAAATGGAGGCCCATTCATTTCGCTATGGTAGGAACTAGGTCCAGTTCAAAATTTTCCTTATTATTTTATCTACTTGAAATAGCATACTCTCTCTGTTCCCTGTGATTTTTTTAATAATGTTTAAGGGCTCTGAATAGTGTCTTTGATGTTTTGGAGAGTGGAGGGGACATTACTCCCCTTCCCTTTTGAGGAAAAAGAAGCAGAATCCTTTGAAAGGGTTTGAGAGCCTTGCCCTTTGGAAAAACAAGAGAATTCCTCCATAGCAGTTGCCTCTTGCAGCAGTGGGATAAAGCAGCACACTGCAGTGGCTTCAGCCATTGGCACTGGGGCAGATGGAGGAATCTTGCCATATGCCAACATGTTAGGAGATTATCGCACAAGCATAAAAATGCGACTTATCTCTCCCAAATTCAAGTAAAATTCGAGCTGCATCTGGGTCCTAAAGCCATGCAATAGGACCTGGTTGCAGCCCGAATTTTATTTGAATTCAGGAGAGATAAGTCACGTTTATATGCTTGTGTGATAATCTCCTTAAAATGTTTGTGAGAAATAGAAAGGCAATTGTTTCTTTACTGCTTTGTCTGGAATTTACCTTTAACATTCCTTTCCTCCATCCAGCTCTCTTAACATTGCTCCTTCTGCTGAAAGGGTGAAATGATGGAAGGAAAGAGGATGAAAGAGTAAAAGCAAATGGAACCATTCATGTCAAAGAAAATAAACAACCTAAAACCAGTTAACCAGAAATCATAGGTGGAATGAAAGGTCTTTTGTTACTAAATGCACCCACACCTTGGCACCCAAAGCTTGCAGGATGAAAGCACTGGGACCTCTAGAATAGGAAGACCAACTAGCACCATCCCAAATCCCCTCCGTCCGGTTCCCTTAAAAAAAATGGGGGGGTTGTTGGTGTAGATCAGGTTTTCTCAACCAGGGTTCTCTGGAACCCTGGAGTTCCACAAGAGTTGCTAGAACTGTGCAAGAGATTGTGACTAAACAAAAACAAAAACAAAAAACTTCTTCTCTTTTGAGTTGTAGATACAATAATTTTTAAGCAGGGGCTCCCCGAGACTGGAAAATAATTTCAAGGGTTCCTCTAGAATAAAATGGTTGAGAAAGGGTTGTTATAGAGACTGTCCAATAAAGTTTAAGGGTGGATTCCTTTTATACACTTTTTATTTGTATCTACTTGGTGCACTTCAGTCACATATTATTTTCAACCACTTTCACTTTACTTTTCAATGCAGTTTTGGTATTATTATTATTTTAAACAATTTTCAGTTGTGAGTGTATGTGCCTTGAAGTCACAGAACCAAAATAAAAAGGAGGTTTTCTGAGGCAAGCACTTATGGTCATGCACAAGAATGTTTGCATGCACTGGCTGTGCCAAATATTGAAGATTAAGAGCTAATATTGATTGTGTGTGCACACACAATTTCATGTATTTAAAATATTTATAGGCCTCTCTTAGGTAAAACAAACAAACACCTAAGATGTCTTCCAACCAATCAGTATATAAACTATGGTCAATTTCAAAACAATAACACTAATGACATCTGGGAGCTGTGCTCCCCTAAATTTTCCTCTCCAATGCATTACTATTTGTATGAGTATGCAAGAAACCAAGTTTTTGTTTGTTTTTAAATTGGAAACCTTGACTCTAAAACAGTTTTCTGTTACCAATCAAATTACTAATCAGTCAGATAGCAAAACAGATCCAACCTCAAAATAATACTGCATTTGAGTTTCTTGATCAGCAGATAAAAGATAATGCTCCTTGTTTACTTCTTATTTAAGGGACATGGCAGTTTGAGAACAAAATGCAAGAAATGACTGAATTGGTTGCTCTGGCATACACTTTTAGGTTTCTGAATTGACATAAATAAATGCAAGAAGAGAAGA